AATCATCTCTCTTTGTCAAGCAGTCAGTATGTTACCACGGAAATTTCCCCATGAGCTGCTCCTTAGATACACATCTAGTGAGATCCGCTTATTCCGTATTTTACATCGAAGAAGTCATATTACTTCATGAAACTTTTTTTAATAATTTCTTTATATAATTATGCAATCCTGTACATAGCCGAATTTTGCATTTTGGCTCTTAAAAATTTATAATAAATGAAATACAGCTCATGGCCAACTGCACCTAATCCGCCATGAGCTGTACCTAGTATGTACCTTTCTTGTCAACTTATAAAATATTATTTTAACTCTTTTTTTCAAAAAAATAGCTCTGTACAGGACTGCGGATGATCCTACTGATTACAAATATCACAGGTTTAACATGATTCTCTTTATTTTTTGGCCGTAATACGGGATAAGCGAATTCGTAATTCACGGCTTCCCGCGAGAGGTCTCTACTGTCTCTCCTGCCGACCCTTAATAAATAATTTTTAAATAAGATCTAAATCGTCAACTGATTATTATGGTTTTATCAGTAAAATGTAAAAATTTTTATGTCCCTGGCAATGCATTTTCCTTGTCAAATTTATTAATAAGTGTTACAATATGCGATTTTTTATAAAAATCAATACAAAAATTTTAAACTTAAATCAACGAAAAATTACAATGATCCATCCAACTATCGTATTAATGGGCGCGTTCAGAAAACAACTGTTGAGCATCGTCGTTTTTTTTATAGTAAAATAACTATAACAGCTGATTGCTATTGATTCTTATCAACTGCTGGTTAAGTTGTTGGTGTCGGATAGACACAGAAGGACACTAGTGTTTTCCACAAACATAAAATGTGAATAATATCCCAAATAAACACGTATAACTCGTGTAAATAAATAATTATTGTTCGTGAGAGCTTGCTATAAAAATGTGAATACAATGTATCGAAGATTGTATTTCAATTTGTCTTGTTGTTTTTATTTTACCTAACCTATTATTCATTTTATATTTATTTTGTGTATAATAAAAATCCATTAATTTATGTAACAAAAGGTTTCTATATAAAAAATTTATGAAACTAAAATATATTATAAAAATGAAATGGGCATATATATTGTAATAATATAACAAAAAATAATTAAATGTGTGATTTGACAATTCTGTAAATAATCTTATAATGTAAACAAAGTATTTTTTTAATAGTTATATATTTTTTTAAATTATATAAAAATGCTATAATTTCCTATTTTCAATATTCACTAGATAAGCTTTTTAATTGTATCAAGATATCAGTGTATTAATAAATCAATGTGAAAATACATTGATACAAAATGTCTGAGAAAAAGACCATTGGGGGTATTCCTGTGGAGTGTCTAAGTGGAGAATCAGCTGCTATATGGTCTGGCTGGCGTACGTTGGGAGACAGAGAACTTGTGAGAGAAGCTTCCGCTAAGGGAACCCATATAAAATTAGCACATAAATGCCTTGCGTATAGAAGGCACTGTTCTGTAGAACAAGCATGTATATACTTCAATGAAGAAGTAGAAAATTGGGTCAGTGAGTTATTAAACAAAAAACAAGTTTACAGAGCTTCACATATTCTAAGGAATATGGTACGTGTCATATATATTACATTAATCTATTGTATCTTTTTCTTTTGAATATAAATAGTATGATGAATAACATTTCTAAATGATAGAGTAAACACCAATAGTGATATAATATTTATAATAATCATTCTATTATAGGGAAAGGATTCAGTGGAATATATTTTTGCTGTTTCTACAAAGAATAAAGACTCAGCTTTAAGAAATTATTTATGCGAGTACATGATAAATGTTAATGGGTTTAAGAATGAACATGTCATAGCGTGGAACATAATTAAGTCTGTTATAGAGCATGAAGAAAAATACAAGTAAGTTTATAAAATTAATAAGAAAATAATATCTATTAGATATGATAAGACAGAAAAGAATTAATAAAAATTATTTCCTTGTTTCAGAATTCAAAATGGGTTAAGTTCTTGTATATGTATAGATGATATAATAAAACTGCCAGAGAATATTAAACACGCCTTATGCACTGAATTATATTTTTCTTTGAATGACCCACAAATTTTAGGAAATGTATCAAATACTATTTTGTGGGATTATTTATTATCTAACAATAAAATTAATGCAATAAGGCTATGGATTGACGCGAGATGCAATCCAGATATCTTGCAAAACTCAAATGAAATTGACCATCATTTAAAATCGTTATTTATAAATTTAAATATTACATCAGATATGATTGAATATATAGATTCTTCCAATGCTAGTAGCCTTGTAAAAGATTTAACTAAAGATTATTTATTCAGGTATGTAAATATATAATAATATCTGTTTAATGTATATGTATTTTACTGATAATAAAACTAATAAAAGAATACGTGAATTTATTTATTATTTTAGGTATGGCATATATATAAAAAAAGAAAAGAATGATTTAAAATTAATATTAAATCGTTCCTTTGGCTGTGGTACCACGTTGGAAGAACTTGATACAATATTATCTCTATCTTCTTGCAATATTGATAAAACGGAATTTCTGCGAAACGTTGATCAACAATTGTGCCTTACACATTGCTCGCAAGAATGTCACACTGAAGAAGATAATTTAAAGCTAACACAATTATTGAATGTATTAACTGATATGTGTAACGCTAAAGATCATTACGAAGATGCATTAATACGTGGAATAGTTGAATCGATTAATTTTATCTCTGACGATTTTAATGCCTATCTAAAAACAAATTATTTGGCAAGCTTGGCTATAATATTTTTACGATTTTCCCAAATGAGAAGCGCCTTAGGTAATGAAGCGAACACTTCAGAGAAGAGTAAACTAATGAGAGATATATTTACAAACAAAGTTGTTTTAAAAATCGGTGAGCATGTTATTTCCCAAGAAGTTCTTCAGTTTGCGCTTGCACACATACCAAACATGCAAGGCATCATTGAAGACCAAACTAAAAAAGATGATATTACGGTGTACGAATTATTAAACGGCTATAAGAATTTGAATGCAAAACAATTTTTCAAGTGGCGTTTCAAAAATGAGCCCATGCCTGCTTTCACAAACGAAAATCTTATTAAAAAATATGGACATCAGGAAATATTGACGTATCGTTATTATTTGAAAGAAGGCAGGCCAAATATGGCTGCATATACTTTAGAATATGCTCAAGTTAAGTTACTCGGAAATGTATCTTCTCAAAGGTTCGTATTTTCAATGAGAATATTTATTTTCATCATTGCCCCAATATGAACAATTGAAATTATTTTAGAAAATTTAAAGCGGCCATATATGCACACATTCTCGCTTTGAGAAATCTAGATAAATCTGATATCGTATGCAGTTGTATTGTTTTTATTGAATTGTTGAAGATTGATTCGAGCAATTTACGATTGCACGTTATTGTGGCAAACTATGTGCAGGAGCAATTAAATATCTCTATAGGTAAAATATTTTATAACTTTAACTATTAACGCGATTGCAATGCACACACATGATATTAGCGAATAAAAATATTTTGGATAATGTTTTTTATTCTATAGGAAATTTATTGGAAAATGTAGTGTATAAGAACCAAACTGATCTAAAGTCCGTGATATTTTATCTAGAACAAAGTTTCCAAAAACACTTATTAGACAAAATCTTGAAGCGAAATGAACAGTTTGTTGAAGCATTAAAAACATGGGACATTATCGTGCGCTTTGCACAAGTTCACAACTGTGTACTACCCGATATATTGCTGAAATATTTGGCAAATCATGATTTATGGTTCGAGTTCGTTGCAGTCAGTCACATATTCGCTTATCCCACAAATCAGGTACGTTGTAAAATAATGTTATATATTATACTGATTAAAATAAAATCTATCAATCTAATCGCGCGTGTACTAGGTACTGGAAAACGCCCAATTATTTAATAATGCGAGCATACGGGAACATTTATTGATGTGTTTCAATAATAGTAAACTTAGCAAATCTGAACCATGTAACGAACAGAAATCCCGTGATGCAAGGCAATCATTGTCAAGACAACGCAAAGTTGGAGTAAAAGAAAATGTAAGAATGTTATTTGTAAATTTTAGTTTTTTTTTTTTTAGTATATAATCAATATCATTTTCCACAGGAATCTCCAGCATCCACTTCATCTATATCTGGAACTGATATAGATGCAACCAATACAGAACATGCTTTCAATTCAACTTCCTTAGATAATGATTTATGGTTAATTATATTAAATTGTCATCAAAGTCAAGACCCACCCGGGGCATTAATTAATGCATCTCGTTCAAACTTAATGCCTATATTGGCTATTTTGGCTACGTGTTATGAGGTATTATTTTACGTTGATCAATAATAATAAAATTTACTAATTTTTTTCTTGCGACTAAAAATGTCACATTTATAGCCATCCTCAGTAGCAGCATATTGTTATTGTTGGATGGTAATATCAACAAGAAGAGAAGATATACTTCTCGATTACGCGGAATGTCTGGAACAACAAATATGGCCTTCTGATAAAGTATCAGAATTATTAAATAAAATGATTCAATGTGGTTATATTAACACAGTTAATCGAGCTTACAAAATTTTCATGCCTGTAAGTTCAATAATTATAACGCGCAATGGTGGCCAAAAATTTCTTATTGTAATTGGTATTAATATCTTGCAGGATAGCATTTTGAATCTATTCTTCGAATTTATGATGCAAACAATAAGTTACAGCGAATTTAAGGATAGTCAACAGTCTTTAATGGAGTTTAAGTCACAATGTTCCTCGCTCAAATCTAATGTATGTATAAAATTAAAATGAAACAGTTCTACTATACAAGCTGATTCACACAACATTATTTTTATTATTTTTAAGAGAATCATGGACTGGGACAGCACCCATTTCACATACTTGAAGAATTTATATTGGATTGCAGTTGTTGCAATCCGATGCATTGTCACAGCACTCGGTTATGGCTTTCAAAGTACGCCGTTACGAATAAAGTTTCTCGAAGCGCTAATAAAGTGTGACTTTTCTGCAGACTTACCAGGTAAAACATGCACAATTCTGTATTAATTAATCTGTGTTCAATAATTACTTGCAATAACTTGTAAAACTTATTATATATATTACAGTCGCAGTACCGGATTTTCAATGCTTATTGGATATAGTAAAACTTCTGCAGAAAACCGATACAACATTAAATTTTAGAGCCATTACTATAATCGATAACGTACATAATTTTAACACAGAGATTCAAAGATGCATTAACGACTTAATAGCAATCGAGGATTACAGCGTTGCCCTAGAATTAGCATGCCGCGCTGGATTAAATTCATGTGAAATTATATTAGCCCAAGTAATAATTTTCGAAATATTTTTAAGGAATCAAATAATATTTACTGTACATTTTTTTAACATGAATCTGTAACATTATTTTCAGTATCGAAATACTTTTAAGAAATCTATAAATAAGGATGGCAAAATAAATCCTGCTTTCTGGACGCAATGTGCTCAAGATTTCAACAAATATAACGTTCCATCTCAAGTAGCAGTTGAATTCTTTGTCGAACATGCCAAGGAAGTTATATCGCATAAAGAAAGGTGAATATTTCGTACAACGAGATGCTGATTCTAGTACATAAATAATCAAATATTTTTTCTCTAGATATGAAGTTTTAAAATTGGCTTATGAAACTTTAAAAAACACGGAAATTGAGCAACAAACTATCGATACTCTGGAGATGGCAATGTGGAAATCATGTATTTTAGCTGGACCTGAAAATGTACAGTTTGATTGTAATGATTACATTTTTAATAAATTAAAAACGGAGTTACTGTCTGGATTGGATAGATTACAAGTCGTTTGCTCCTTGATCGACGAAGGCGAAAAAGATTCTGTAAAGATTTTAATGAATAAACTACTTGATCTGGGCAAATTGGATATTGCCTTACGAATAAGCAAGATGTTTAATTATAATCACAAAGTAAGTAACATACTTTTATTTTCGAGTATAGGATTAATATTAAAAAAAATTATTATTTTATAGGATTTGCAGATATTGATGCTGTGTTTAAGTTTAGCAGAAGGCGAAATTTCACCAGCAGATTTAACCGTGCAACAAAAGAGTCTCTTGGAAGAGACGAATAAAAACAAACAACAAAAATATGGCATTTTCCGTAATCGCGCTTTGCCAAGATTTTCTTCATCGTCTTCCCGTACGTCTTATCATTATTTTTAACATTGATAACAATTTCTATATATGCTTCATCTGACTAAAAATATTTTTCAGTTCCTGCATATAATTAATATATCGGAGAAATATGTCAACATATTTTATTTTTGCAGTAAATACAGTCTCGTCAGCTATAGAAACCAGCAAGACAAACGATACAACAATCACTAACAATCATCAACTCCAAATGGAGTGTATTTCAATCTTAGAAAAATTGTCAGAAACTCTTAAACATGGAAATGAGATTTGCCTGAGAATTATTTCGTGTTATAAACTTGCTACACGCTTAGGGAAAACATATCAATCACTATTAATGCTGAGCAATCCGATTAAATTTTTACGAGAGACCATGGAAAGTAATATCGAAAATAAATTTGAAACTGCCAATAACATAATAATATCTTATAAAATTAAGAAGGAAGATGTCGCAATGTTTCTAACCGAAAATATTACAGTGCACATAAGTCGTGCCACAGAAGGTAATTGGAAAAAAAATTATATTTTATTCAAAGAATATTATTTTAATATTAAAAATAACAAAATATTGTCAATTCCAAAAGATGGTCAAGAAGACTCCATTTTTATTTGGGGCTATTCTATGCATTCACATTTTCACTTAATAATGGAGCTTTGTAGCGATACTTCGTTATTAGGCTTAAAATTGTTAAAGACAGCACAATCATTGCTGGGAAGATACATTAGTACTCATGATGAAAAAAAGAATGGTAATTTATTTTTTTCCGTTATTAAATCACCCTTTTTAAACTATAATAAATATATAAATTTTTATGTATTATATATGTGTTACAGTTGCAGGATTAAAAACAATAGTGGAATTATTAATAAAATCGCACGATTGTTTCACGGCTTCCTGTAATATGGAAGGAATAGCTTCAGTATTACGAAAGTGTCAGAGCCTTGCGAATATGTTACAAATTTTTAAACACTGGGCATTATTAGTATGTTAATTAATATTTTAGCATTTACATTTACATTGTTTTCAAGATTACATTTATTAATTATATTAATTAATTCCATAATTTATTTTAATCCTTGTTGTTTATTATTAGGTACGTCTTGTAACTGGCGTTGGGCGATTTACCGAAATGAATTACATATTTCAAATCTTGAAAGAAAATGATCAATTTGAATCTTTATTGGGACAGGGCTTGGATAAGGTATTTTTATACTCATACGATAAATTGCAAGTGAACGCATACTTCTTTTTTCTTTCGTGAAAAATATACATTTTATTTTAATCGGACAGGTACCGGGTTTAAAAATAGCACTGTTAGAATTTCTGAAGCGTCAATGTCCAGACGATAAAGAATTATTTACTTTAGTGGCGCTGCATTTCCGTTTGTATTATGAAATCGCACTCATGTGGGAAAATGAAGCAAAAGAAGTAATTTCAAACTTAATATCTGAAGCATTAAAAGAATGCGGAAGAGGCGTGACTGGTATTCCAGTAGAAATAAAGTATACTCGGAATGACAATACCCAAAAACAATTGCAACTGGCCGTAACAAATTTTACTCATGCCACTCAATACTATTTACAGGTAAAGAAATAAAATGATCGTATATGTATTTTTTTAGAACAAAAAAATTATATATTTTAATTCTAGGATAAAAAATTAAATCTTGCTAACCAATGTGCTCATCAAGCACAACTTGTCGCTCTTCAAATCGGACTATTGCACGCGTTACCGCAAAATCAGCAAGCAGTATGCCTATTAAATCTGAAAAGTGACGAATTGGATAAAATACTGTCTCAGATCTTAAATTTTCCTCAAGCTCTCATTGTTAGTCGTGCTTATAATCATCATACGGATTGGGCTAATCTTATTTATCATCATTGCGTTCTCAAAGATGAGACGAAATATCTCAAAGAATTCATGATGATAAATAATCTAACGTCTACGATTGTACAAGATTGTGCGCGTAGGTGAGTTTACTGCAATTAATATATATATAATATAAAAAATATGATTTCTATACATAAATAATTTTCTTAAAAATATTGTCATTATTTTTTAGGTACTGTTTGGAAAAAAATATTAATCATTCCATGACAGATAATATGAAAATTCTAATTTCTGAATTATCAGATATCGAATGTAAGTACAAGTTAGCTAGTCAGCTTGGTTTTAAGGATATTGTGGAGGAAATGCTCAATAATCCTCTAGTAGGTGCCTATCTAAAAGATACGATTTGGAAGAAAGGATATACTACTTCATGATGTAATATATGCTACTAAAAAGAATTTGACATAATCATAACCCGATAAAAGTACTGTAATCGAAACGCTACGGTAAATTGTTATAAACTCATTTCCTGTTATTGCGAGGAATATAATTTTGTACTTATAAAAAAAATAAATAGTATTGATATTATTTCGCCTACATTATGTATCCTGCTACATGAATTTATAACAAATCAATTTCCTAATCATGAAACTACTAGAAAAAAATAAAATTATACAATTTTTCATTAGAAAATAATATTAATTAAATCGTATTGCATATACTAAATCATACTATCTATTGATAACTTGTTACCATGCTTAATAACGTGGTCTTACGACCACATCTGCTGTAGTACATGAGTCGGTTATTTTATCGATTTAAGCTGAAGACAGTAGGCGTAGGTAAGCATCGGTAGATAATACGATTCGTTACAATTATAATTCTTTAGATACCTTTTATCGCTAAAAGTTATTACTGCATACATTTTATCTACTATCTTTTGAAGGCTATTTATCTATCATCGCTAGTTTTTCGGCTGCTTTATTGAAATTACAAGAAAAAATAAAATCTATTTTAAACCATAATATTCTTTGTATAAAAGATGATTTAAAAATATGATGATTATTTATATTACATGCTGATTTCTTAATATGTAATGATCGCGCTTGTAGACACGATATACACAATTATATTTAAAAATAATAATACCTTACTGCAGATATTCAATGTGACAAAAAATATTTCTCTATAAAATGTTTATTATTACATTAATAAAAACTGCTAAAGTTTACTAAAAGAATTATGTGTTTATAAAAACATCTTTTTACAAAATTTAAGTATAATTAAATAAAAAAATAATTCATTGGTTTTTTTATATAACGGAAAGCTTATTATATATATTACTGATTAAATATGTATTATTTTAAAACGCGGAAAAAAAGATTATTTTAGTTAATGTAGAGAAAATGACTAGATTTATCATTTTTTAAAACATGCTACCCTTTTTTGCTTGCAGATCTGGATCCTGGCATACTAGCGCGGTTCTAAGTTTTATTGCTAACGTTTAACATTTTAATGAGTTGGCTATTTTTGGAGATAAAAACTTCATGTTTGCGTAAACAGAAAAAAAATAGTATAAAATGAATAATCTTAAGCATTTATTATGCAAAACTTGTACTTTTTATAGAGTACGTGTAAAATTTTCGGTCCATATTTTGGTACATACGAATTTTTTCCGCTCAGGAAATTGCTACGCTATTTTATCTTATTCTGCACCATCTTTTCAGGAAAGAGAGAGAGCGCAATGTCTAAGAATTCCAATGTTTTTTGAAGACAAAAGACACGTATTCAAAAAGACGTTTTCTTCGATATACGATTTACTTTTATTTGCAGCTATTCGCTGCGAGTGGAAAATATAAATGAATGCACATATGAATAAACGTATAGCAGAAAAATATGTGACAATTTCGCGTACCAAGTACGTTTACTATAATATGGTTTTCGACTTGCGAATTGCCCGAGTTTTAGTTAACATATATTTGTAATATATATAGAGCCATCTTTTCTATAATATGAAACATATATCAGATAGATTACTCTTATGACTATAACGAAACGATCATCCGGGATCTCTTCCTCTTCGTAAAAAAAAAAAAAAAAAAAAAAAAAAAAACAGCCACGAATCTCGTTAAATCAGTACTTCGTTCTTATATCATAAGGATAAATCGTTACGAATACTGCGCTCGTATCTCATTAAAGATTCAACGCACGGACACAATCTATGGCATATATAAAGAGCGAATGTTCTCCGCGGGAAAATTTGCGTATAACGTCTAACGTGGGGCATATCTTCCCGTTCACGCACGGCAAAAGCCGCTCACCGCGCGTATAATTTCGGTATTTATGGGATTAATGCCTCTTATGCGCGCTCTTTCTATGTATACGATACCCGGGGAGATAGGTTTTCGATAGATCGATTAGACCAGCTGGCGCGCGGGCACGCGCTCCTAAGCCGCTTATGTTGATGCCGGTCCCGAAAACTTTTGCGCTTTTTTGGAAATTGGCGCGAGCACCGTAATCCGACAGGCGCTAGCATTAACGGTAATTTCGAGGGAATGGGGTGATAATTGATTTCGTAGGGGGGGACCGACCAAGATGGGCCGTCGCGTTGTGCGTATGTACACGCGTGCGTTAAATGCACGCAACTGTGTCGCGTGTCTCTGTCACACGAAATGTCTAGGACGATATTACGCTTCTCGACGCATCCTTTCATATTATCCTTGCATGCAGTATGAAGAAGTAAATAATAATATCGAATCAAATCGCGCTATCTGCTTATTTTGTGGAAAGTATCGTGTACTATGACAAATTAGTGCGTAAAAAAATAGTACTTCATCTAAACGTAATCAAGTATTAGCTATCGAGTTTTATTTTCGCTTTCATCGCGTCCCTCGAATTTTTCATAAAAATAGATAGACATCTAGTTCAATTCGTATATCTGATTTTATTATGTCTTCCTCTATACGTTGTAATAAAATTTAAAAAAGATTTTTATATCAGAAATTCTAAAAAAATATATGTAAATCCAAGATAAATACTATCTTTCTCTTTCATAATTGTTTGATAATAAATGTTGGAAAATCTGTGCTTAACTACGAGTATTTGGCATTAAACGTGATGCAAATATAATATTTGCGTCTTAATATGACATAAGACCATCCATTTATCGATGCATTAATCGGATATTACAGTCTAATATAAAGTTAATAATCAATTACCAGAGCGCCTTCAGCTACGAGGTAATTAATGAAGCTCTGTGTGTAATAACAATTACGTGCTTTATCTCGGTGAAATAGTCAGGATAGTTTCAGCAGCCCGAGCTATTCTTTTGTAGTTATCATCGACGTGAAGAAAAGGCGAACGCGTCTCATCTTAGGTAATGAAGTTTAATTTAGCGTCCTATATGAACACGAATAACCGATATATCGATCTCGTTGTGCAACTATTGAATATCGACGCATAGGCTTATGATAAAGTGCGATAGACACGCATGTTCCAGATATGTTTATTGTTAAAGGACGGTTTAATAATGCGCGTCGCTATAATTAATTCACGTGCTATTGCATTAAAAATGGTATTCGATCGAAATGAATACTCATTACGAATCGCTAATAAATTTTCACGTGATTGTCAGTCTGGATAATTAACAGATACAATCGAATGCGCGGTAAGTTATATCAATCATAATATCGCATTATCTCTATCGCAGTAATTCTTTATATCGATTCAATTATCGCCGCGTAAAACCTGTATCGTTGGAGCGAACAGAGATATTAAAACGAATCTCTATTTTTGACGTTTACAGACGGACATTCGGACGAAAGAGGCGTAATTCTGACTTATGCCAAGCATTTTGCCAAAGAGATCACAAGTTACAAATGAGACCCATATATCGAGGGATTACAACCCGCTTGATGCGGTATTGAAAGAAGACCGGGCGGCCTGAGCAAACAAGTCGTCGACAATTCGTCGACCTTCAGGTCACAGTTTGGCAGAGGAAGATCCCTAATAAAGGATGTCGATAATGTGCGAACCCGTCGAGACGACATATGTTTGTGGTAATAATCGCATAATTCATTGGTGTGCCGGAAATTACGCACATGAACACTTCCCTCCTTTACAGTCTTTCCTCCCTTGAACTCTCTGTCCTTGTTCCTTCAAAATCTTTTTCTCGTTCACATATCGAATGAGAAAAAATAGCTCTGAGAAATCGTCTGATATACTTTATGTATTTTATTGCCAATATTAGAGGCGATAATACTAACATGCATGTCGACATATTCTTTTTCTCCTCGCCATTTTCGACAAGCACATTTTTAATTCGATAGTCATGGAAACATGTAATAAAATCAATAAAAATTTCGTAATTAATCCAATCAAAAGGATGATATAATATAGCTGGTTGAATAAAATTTATTACTCCTCCACAATATTGTGCATAATTCGCAAAATTCGAAGATCAATAAATATTTTACAATACAAAAGAATTAATTAATTTTCCAGATATTATTTTGCTATCGACTGTGAAAATTATATTAATCCGATCTTGTGTAATTTTTTTAATCTAAAAATAAGAGAAAACTTTTTTTCGAAAAATAAGAGAATTCTTGCAAACCGATATGAATTCTTTTCTCTAGTTTCGCATCGCGGAGTGACATACAGAATGCATATACAGGAACGCTCATTCATCGTGACATAATTTATCGCGAAGTAAGCATTGCGTAACTAACGCGCCATAACTAAAGACGAGCCCTACTCGACTACTCCACTCGAGTACAATATCGGGATGTCGTGTCCGGAATAGCATCTCCCGGTACCATCCAGGTTTACGTTGGTAAAAGGGGCTTGAATATTGTCGACGTTACGAGCGATTCGGCACGCATTAGCGGCGTCACCGGGGGAACACGTTAAGTACTTACGTACGGACATTTCTGCCAGACGTTGCCATTCAAGTCGCGTAAATAAATCGCATTGTCAAAGGCCTCTTGCTCGTAATCAAATTGTTTCGTTATGATTTTTCGTGAAATATTCCATCCTTTTATTCATATCGCAAACTAAACGATAAGTGATCTAGAAGAGGTACGACAAATTTAAATTTGTTGTGATTTTAAACTTTGAATTAAATCTGATCTAAAAACGATTTGTGCGTTATAGGAAATCTCGTATTTAGGATTTAAATATAACTAAGCATATAATAATTATTTTTTCCACGCTATAAACAACCAATATTATTGACATTATATTTTATTGTGTCACGTCGCTGACAATATGCTGTTCGACTATATGGGCACTTATGTACTACAATGGAATGTATTAATGTCCGATTTCAATGGCGACGCGTGATGTCATGTCCGCTACGATATAAAGCGTTAGTAGTGTCAGTCACTGATAATGTAGCTTCGTGGGCGACATATTAGACGAACAGTGAATTCCGGACAACCTCGTTCACCGGCTACAAGTGAGATATATCTGTCCATATAATTGCAAGATCGCTTGAAAAATTTCGGTGAGATCAATCATTGTTAAGACACTCATTTGCACTGTATGCAAATCTTTGACGT